ATACGGTCATTGTTTCCCCTGTTTTTCTCTGTGTTTCTCCCTCTGTCCTGTCCTGTCCTACTCTCTATGGGGCTACAGCTGTACCCAATGCCCCTGGCCAGGAGAGCCGAAAGGGAAGCCAGCCAGCCTCACATAGACCTGCTCCTCTGTCAGAGTGTTTGTTCAAACCGAGCACTTTCATCCAAAGCCGCTAACAATAGAACGATTGCATCTTACAGTGCAGCACATTTTTAGCCTACAATTTATGGTTGCAGGAGGAGCTCAACCAACAACAGTGGTGGGGTTTGACACATGCAGGGATTCATTTGTGTTCTCTCCTTGCAGACACAAAGCAGTATCCAGCGTTTGTAGGCCACAAACCTGGCAGGAACAACACCCAGCGGCACAAACTGGACATCCAGCTCATCATGATCATGAACAGGACGTTATACATCGCTGCCAGGTGAGTGATAAGAGATATTTAGTCCGGTTTTTGAACATGTGTTTTCTTCACACCCAGGAGGTCCTTAAATACTGTTGCCATTTCAGACAGAAACTTCCTGCAAGTTTGACTATTTTTCCTCCTGGAATAAAATTGCAGGCCGCTGTAGATTAGGATTAATTAAACTGAGCAAGTGTGCTTCCACCGGTATTATTGAATCCTTTATCATCCCCTCTCATATTACAGCTGCTGATTGAATTTGACTTTCAGCTCAGAATGATTCTCATCAATTATTGCCATTTGAGGATTGTGTGTACATGTGATCCCCTTTTAACTCGATAATTGCTGAAGGCTGTGGGATTCACTGCAGTTGGGCTATCGAACTGAACTTTGGAGCCCTGCTGTGCTGTTTTCTTTTAAAGTTTTAGGAATCAGGAGGGACTAATTCAGAGCAAAATGCTGAGACTTTAAAGGCACTTTGCAGTCTGGACTTGTTCCTTCATTACGTCTTTGTTGTTTTCTATTTTGGGCTTACCGTCTGCCAAAACCCCCTTTTACCTATGATGTCCCTGAAGACTTGTGCTCTGTTTTGGTTTAA